TTTTCTTCACATGTCTAACACGTAAACGGCAATTTTCTCTTAACTTTATGTGTGTAACACCCAAACAGGAGCAATTTTTCCTTAACTTCACGTGTGTAACACCTAAATAGGGGCCATTTTTCCTATAGAAAATCTTTACGAGAATCAGTTCCTTTATGGAAAAATTAAAAATTTAATCTATAATTATTTACATTGTTTCGAATTTAATTTTTCTTAATAAATAAAGTAAATAATAATAATAAAATAAAGATAATATAACCTTAAATGAAAATCTTAATATCACATTTAAATTATGAAAATTATTTTTAGAGTTAAAAATATGAAATGCACTGTACATAATTAATAAAATAAAATAAAATAAAAATTAGTATTAAATAACAATAACAAGTTAAATTTATAATTTATACAGGATAAAAAAAAGAAAATACAATACTTTAAATAAAATATATGACGATCTTGAAAAAGGTTCTATAAAAAATAAAATATTTTGTCTATAATTTAAACCACCCATGGCATTGACATACCTAACATACCATGAATTGTGTTTAATATTAATCAATAAATTCTCATAAAAATATAAAATATTTTAAAAAATTAGAAGAAAATTCAGATTTTTAATTTTTAAACCTTTATTAATTCTTCGTAGTCGCTACATTAACTATTCGAAATAATTTAATTATTCATTCATCTATAGAAAATTTAACATTTTATTCAAAACCGCACTGATTTTATCAAATAAAATTTATATTAGATTACTCCAATAAAATAATAAAAAAATCCTTTTTTTGTTTTATAATCTATTATATTTTATGAATAAGAAACATCAAAATCAATACGATTAATAGGATCAAAATCATAGGATCAATAAGATTTGATCCTATCAGTAGAATAGGATCAATGGGATTAAGAAGCATCAAAATATATTAAATAATATATTTAAATCCTATTTTTAATTTCTAAATCTATTTTTTTCAAGACGAAAATCTATTTTTCGTTTAAATTAACATATAATACCTTGTCTATTATATGCTAATTTTTTGGAATTTTTCTCATTCTTCCACTTATAAAAAATTTTCTCATGATTCTTCAAAATTTATATAATCTATTGAATTTATTCCTAAAGTTTTATATTTCAGTAATGCGTATATGTGAAAATTTTAAGATACGAAATGTGAAAATTGAAAGAAAAAAAACGAATTTAATGTATCTCAGCAACATTTCTGTAAAAAACTCTTATCAAAATCAACCATTTTACCATTTCTTTTACTATTTTTAAACATTTTAAAAAATTGTGTGTACTTTTTGCACTTTTTTTACAGTGATAACACTTCAAAAAATATTTATAAAAATAGATTAGTATAATTTTTTTCATCTAGAAACTTATTTTATATGATATTTCAATGTTTCTATTGAATTAATGTAAACATAACTAATATTTTAATGATAATTATTGCCATAGAATAATGCAATGTAACGTAACAGAAAAGATTGAGGAGAAATTATTGTTCAATAATAATAATAATGGCTTGTGAAAGATTCAGTTGAAATTTCTTAACAATTTCAAACAATAATATTGCTTTTAAAAATTAGTATTGAAGGAATTTTTAGTCTAAATTTACGTTTAATCTCTCTGAATTATAGAATTTTTATCACGTTGAAGCAAAAGATTTGGCTTTATTCTATTTTATTTTAAGTCGATAAAAATCTCAAAATGATTTGAAATAATTTGGAAAAATTGTTTTTAGTTGTAAGTCGTTTTGTACATTTTATTATTGGTTTAATATCAATAATAAAACGTTGAGTTACAATAAACGTAAAAATTTTTGACATTTTCTTTTATTTCTGTCATGAATCTGAATTATGAAAGCGGTTTTTAATACAATCCGCAACTTCGAGATTCAATCATTAAATTTTTCTTCTTTGTTATATTTTATAAAAGAAAAATTCCAAGAAGTTAATGAAATTTGAATTTCCTCAGAGTTCAGTTGAATCAATAAACAAGACATGTTGAAAAATTACTTAATCATTCACTGTTCAAGATGTCAGCTGATGCTTGATCATGATCTTTTAATTGAAACTTTTAAGTTTGAATTCAACCGTTCTTTCCGTATATAATTGACAGTTTTATGAATTTAATTATAATTTTATTTGTTGGAATTGATAAGCAGAGATTGCGGGAAAAGAATTTTTATAAGTTAGTAAAGGAATTCTTTACAATTTTTAAGTTTCTTTCCACTTATTGAAGTCAAAGTTAAATACGTACTTGTGATGAAATATCTTTTCAAAATTACTGTATATGGGAAATAATCTAATTTTACTATGACTCTCAGCGGGTACTCGAGCCGAGAAGGCACAGTCTAATTGCTTGTTAACGTTGATTTTCATGGTGCAACACAAGATTGGGTATCATTCGATTGGAGCAAATTTTCTTTTCCTTTGAATATTCTGATAATAAACAAAACACTTAACTTTAAGAAAACTACTGAAATATATTATTATTATTTTTTTTAATAGATCAGGAGACGTTTCGACCGAGTACAATCTTCGCTATAGCAGGAAAAACTGTAGCAATACCCTGTGATGCGCACCCTTCTGCCAAAGGCGATTCTGTAGCATTGATACTGTGGTATAAAGACAACATTACAACACCCATGTACAGCCTGGATGCTAGGCAAGGAAATTTAAATCAAGCACGTCACGCTGCTAAAGACGTTTTGACAACAAGAGCTTTCTTAAATATCCTAACAGAACCTGCAGTCTTGCAACTCAATCCCGTTTTGGTTGCAGATGAAGGAGAATATAAATGCAGGGCGGATTTCAGAAATGAAAGAACTCGATATTCATCTGTCACTTTAAAAGTTTTTGGTAAGTCTTTGACCTATATTTTAAATAAATACATTATATTATATAAGTTACATACGCCCGATTGATATCGATTGAAGTCGTACTTATCGGCAAGATATAAATAAAATAATTAAAGTAATGCTGAATAATGTTGTAAAGATTAATCTTTTTTCAAATTTGAAATGAAAAAAAAAGATTAATTTTTCTTATTTTCTATACAACAATAATGATATGGAGATTTATAAAATTAATATTATTTCAATTTATTATCTCTAATTAATGATTCGGTTTAATTCTAACAAAACTTTACATCTTACTTCATAAAAATTTTTACAAGTTTAATTAAATTTAATGAGTACCGAGGATGAAACTCGTATGCAATTCTAGTAAAAGAAAATCTAAATTTTATTGATTTCGATTAATCTCCTTAGATCTTTCAGATTTAATTCTATGAAATGTCGAGTTTAATTTAATTGTAAGTGTAACTTATCTGTAAATGCCGAAGAAAAAAAAAACAAATATTATGTACATTTTAGAAAATAAAAATATTTAATTTTATTATATTTATTTTTTATTTGATATTTTTGATAAATTTAAATGTAGAGTAGGTTCTGAATTTGCTAATTTTCTTATAGTGTGTAAATTAAAGGAAATCTGTGTATATAAAAGTCAAAATATGTACGTATGTTAGGTAAATTTAACGTATCGGCACCAAATTTGTCATAAATATTCTTCAACAGCCTAGAAAAAATACTGTGGGAACCCCGCCCTCACCACCCTAAAGTTCACCCTTCTTAACTTGAGCCTGAACAATTTTTTGTATTTTGCAGTTTTATTATTGTAAATACAAGTCAATAAATGTAAATTTTAGTTAGTAAGACCATAGTTTTTACCACCCACTCCAATCCAACCTCACCAAATCCCCACCCCCTCAAAATCCCGAGCTATACAGGTACTAAGTTATTTAAATTATACAATATCTACAATTCGAAAATAAATAAATAAATGAAAAATTATTTTAAGTTTTTGTTTTTTTGAAAGAAATTCGAGAATAAAATTCTAGAAAAAAAAATTGAAGAATATGCGCAGGGAATATTTATTATAGAAATTTACTGTCGTTAATATTTAAATGACACGTACAATTCCAATCATTATAATAAATGAAACCGATTTAAAAAATTGTTATACTTTTCATCATTATATTTTTCTAAGTTCTCTTGGAGGATGATAAAAATAAGAAAATCCAATAAGTTGCAATGACAACACATAAACTACCGTTCGAAGTTTTTCTCCAGCGACAATATGAATTATGCGAGATCATTAACGAATGTAAGTAAGTTCAGACATAATATCGAGTGAATCAATTAGAAAGGAGCCGATATGACCGGCAGAAATTGGCAAAAGAAATTAGATAAGAATCGTTATTTCTCGTGATGGTTCGAGACCGTCGACGTCATAAATTGTCCCTCTTGACGTTACGACCATCCGGTGACGTCGTCCAACGACACGTTCTCTTATTTATTTGACTTGGTGGGTCCAAAACTGTAATCATTATTATAACTGGAGTATTTAATAACTTAGGTATATCGTCGTTTTCAGTAACTTTAGTAGCAGAGAAGAGTAGAAATTCACATTATTTTATTATATTTTTTTATTAAAAGTTCTTTTTTTGGGGTGGAAGCCATTTATTGCCTACTCGAATTTTTATGAAATGTATAAACCTTGTAAGCGATGTAAAGTACATTTTTTATTTCTTAGATGGTCGTTTTGCATATATGGATTGTATTGTGCGAGTATTGAAATACCATAGCAATCGATGACCTTAATGCTATTTTCGATATAGAACTCTTTATACGGGGACTTCTCGCATTGAATTTTATTGTGCCTCTTCATTCGTTGTATAGAATTGTTAATTTTGCTGTCTTTTATTGATCTTTGATTCGGATATTATACAATATCTAAATCAAAGATCGTTTGTATTTGATTTAAAAATTGTAACATAAAAAATGTATAAGTAATTAAATTTTAGCATTTTTAAGGTTTTTTTTTTTATATGTGATATTATATTGTGTTGTAAGACAAAAGAAAAAAAATATATTATTTCAAAGATAGTCTACAAAGATTAGGCATCATTTACTAGGTGTTTTCGTTATAATAGTACGTCTATTACTTCAATTAACGTAATCGTTTTTATATTATTATAGAACGAAGTAATGTCAAACTAATATAAAAACGTACAATATTCTTTAGGTCGATTTTGGATAGAGTCTAACCACAGTGGCCAAATTGTGGCTCTTCTATACCCTTACTGAGGAACCCGTATACTCACACAATTTCTTTTTATGAACTTGGTACAGTACATACTATTGATATGTACACAATCAATATTCTATTATGTAGTGTAATATACAGACGGATTGTAAACGCAACTCGCAAATTACCTTTGAACAGGTAACTAAAAGCTGAGGACACATCCTTCTGAACCTAATTTTAAATATCTATAGTTAGTGTCCCAAATACAAAACCACAAATCTTCTATCAGTAAGTAATGAAGAAATATTAATATGTATTTAGATAAAAAGAAGAAAGTAACTTATTATAAACCTATTTTCTCAAAGTTTTTAGGTAGCCTTTCTTACATATTAATCCAAATGTACGCAATGTTAACCATGAATAATAGTGATAATCATTATAAAACGGTGATAGATATAGTTTTGTAATTATATATGCTACATAACATACAGTTTTAATAGAAAATGTGGCACTCTCGAATTTCTGATAGGTAATATATAAGTTAGATCTTATTATAACAAGGTTTGTCCATCTCTGTAAATAGGAGTAACGTCAAAAGTGTGTAAAAGTTTACAATAATCTCACAAAACGAATGCACTTCTTACAATGGTTCTACCTTGCAATCATTTGAATGAAAATAGAGTTTAGTATTGTGTACAAAATTTCTCACTCAACAATTTATATCTTCATACAATAGTTTAGTAATATAAAAACACTGATTTATAGATTAGTGTAATCTAAGAATGTAAAGAAATTCGATATTAAAACGATCATTTCTATATTTTCTACGCATCGAAACTCTAAACTTAACAATATTATTGTTCAATTTCAGTTGACCAAAGTTGCACACATACTACTAGCAAACTAACTGCATTAATTTATAATAATACAACTAATAGTAACTAATATACGGTAGAACAATATAATTACTATAATAGTGAGTTATGCCACTATTATAAGTTACAAATTATTAATAATGTTAATTATTATTAATAGTAATACTTATTGTTATTATTAATCCTTGTATTAATAAATTAATAGTAAGTTTAAACGAATCAACCAAATATATCAATTACATATAATTAATTTTATAATGCATTAAATCTAAATAATTTATTGTATGATTTTGTGATTTATGCTAATGATCATATTATATATGCAAATTTAAATAAAATAGAAGTGGAAAAAAATTAAAGAGAAATTACATTTAAAAGAAAAAAAAATTGGGTTGAATGCGATTAAGGCACTCATTGAAAAGACTTGATCAATTTCCTTCTCATTGCACTTAATTATGAGAATTCTCTAAATTTTATTAAAACAAAAACTATCAAATTAAATTGTTTTTTTTCTTTTGTAAAATCAAAAAAATAAAATAGTCGAAGAGTCGAAGTCGATACGCTAATGTGTTGACAATATTAATTATATACCATTTAAATTTACAGTTTTAAATGTGATTTACTAGCCTTTGCAAATAATTTTATAAGTAAAATATAAATATTTTAACGGAGAAAACTATTTTTTAAAATAAAATATTTATATTTCACTGTTTTAAATAGAGTCTGGTGCTTAATTTGTTGTATGAACATTATAACTAAAACATAAAATAATAATTTTAATGTACTTTACAATTTTGATATCTGATTTTAGGAATTTATATTTCTGGGCCGGTTGGAGGATTTGTGGGCCCCAAAAATATGCTTAAAATATTTTTAAAATCAAAAAAATCATATTATTTTATTAAACATAATTCATAGTTATATACTCGAGAATGAATCACAAAAAATAAAACAAATTCCATCCTCTAATTTTCTTAGAAATTTAAAAATGCGAGGCCCTTCTTAGTGCGAGGACTCAGTCTGAGGCTCGAAAAATCGACGTCTGAGAAGTTTGTATATTTTAAATATAATATTTACGTAATGTAAAACTTTAATTTCATTTCATATGTAATTACACCTTCGAACAAGAGATGTTACAAGTAAATATGTTAAAAAATAAGAAGAAGAAAAAAAGGCAGAAGTTTTAGTAAGAAGTTAAATATTATATATATGTTAATAAAATTTCTGCTATGGAATTAAATAATGAACGAAATAATTTTTTATTTAATTACTTTTAAATTATCGTTCTCGAGTACAGATACAAAACAAATTGTAGAGAATATGTATATTTGTATTGCACTTGTTATAAATTTTCAACCTGTTAACTTGAAAAATTTCACTGTTGAGATTGATTAAATTTATGTTTGAGTTGAATATTTAATTTTTTGTAAATTCAATAAAATATTACAAATAAAATAATGGAAATCGGTTGATTTGAAGCTAAAACAAATCTGAAACTTTGAATTATTAGGTAATAATTTTCTACGTATTGGATGTAAAATTATGTTGAATGAACGAAATGAAAAAAGATAATATTACATTTTAGTTTGCTTTTTATCGTCTTGGTAATGTAAGAAACAGAATCATTTATTATTTAAAAAATAAGAATAGACGTTACTTTTTTATTCTGTTATTCAGAGTGGTTATTATAAAAGTGAAAGGTCAGATGTGAAAGAATGTTTGTCAGGTGATAATGTAAATTGTAAATAAAGAATCAATATGGTATACTGTATAGGTACTGTATTCAATTTATAATTCAAATCTTAAGCAGTAAGTTTTGTAAGCGGTTATATTTAGGGTACGATCTTCAATAATTTTATTAGACATATTTTCACTTTAAGTGCTAATTTTGGA